GCTCCGTCCTCTTTCTGCTTCTCTGACGCAACATTAAACGCTTTGCACTTAATTAATAAAAAACACCAGAGACCGAACATGACCTGGAAGGTTTTTATAAAAACACACAGTGGACACGAGCAGGAAAATAAATCAGCATCGTTCTCAGAGATTAGGCAGAGAAATATCACCGCAGCGCCTGCGCAGTGAAGGGGGAAATAAAATCTAAAATAAATATGTTGAGTCCCTTAAAGTAAATAAACCAAGTAATATTGTTAAAATATTTTATATATTAAAAATTCAAATATTTCTTTGTAAATGCATAGATGTTGAAGCAAATTCTTTATTCGGGTAAATCCCCTAAATTATACTTTTTTAAAAAAAAAAGATTAATTTAAAATATTTAATTTTTATTTAATTGTAATTCATTGGTGATTCATGAGATTTTAAAAATTAATTTAAGTATTGACCAGATCCCGATATTTGCCGAAAACCGTTCTTTCAGAGCGCAATAACCGTCAGAGACGAACAGGAAATAACTGTAATAATTTTAACATAAACTCTGGCACTTTGTAAATAATTTGCACTTAGTTATTTTAATTTTTTTAAATATTTTTAAGCGAAACTTCTGACGGACCACGTTACATTTATAACAGTCACATGAATTAGAAAAGTATCGACACCGTCGTCTCGATACTTTATAAAAGTCGGTTTATTGTGTTTTATCTTCCCGCGCACAGACATGTCTGCGTCTCTATGAATTTGTAATTATTATTTCTCCCCCTTTTCCTCCCCCGTCCAGGATGATGTTCGAACCCCAGACCAGAACAGTGACTGTTTGATCCCATTATTATTCTGTTCTTTCTTTCTTTTTTTCATGACGCTGGAACTGTTTTCCTCTCTTGCTCCACATGCTCCTGCCCCGGGCGCCGATGTGCCCTTCAGCAGGGCAGCTCCGCACCTTCGGCCCGTCAGTGCGGCTGATTTTTTTCCTTCTTCTTCTTCTTTCTTTCTTGATCTCATTCGATGTGCGTTCAGTTTCCGTCCGCGGCCACAGAGCGGGTATTTATGTCGAGACGAGCACGAAAAAAACAGACGCCGCCCGGGACAAGGGAGTCTTTATGGAAATGCACGGACTTGTATAAGTGATGTAAATGTCCTGGATGTGTTATCTGTCACGCGGCCGGCGCCGTGATTTCGTGCTGGAAGAGACGAGAGGGGAAGTGGGCGCCACATCCACGGCTGTCAGCAGGCATGAATTAGAGGAAGTGGGAAACACTTTGTTGGATGAACCAACAGCCGGAGTGGGCTTTGATCAGGAAAAGCTGCTGCTCTTGGACGGAGTTGAACCCCTAACCCTGCCTGCCTTTCACACCTACACCTCTCATCCGCGTCTCCTTTTTTTGGAGGAGTGTATGAATAATGTCTTCCGTTTATTTCTGTTAGCGCGGGGCTAAATGGCAACACGCTGCGTTATTGTTGCAGAAATTGAGACAAGCCATTGGCATGATGGGAGTTCGTGTGTGTCTGTGTGTGTGTTTTCTAATATGAAACCTTTACAGAGCCAATTAAATGGGCTCTAAACGAACGTGTGCCGGTTGGCAGTTGACATTTTGGAGGACGGAGACGACAGATGCCAGAGAGGCCGCAGTAGAGGGCGCTCACGCCATTAACTTACATGCCTTATAATTCTTTTCTGCTCAATCGGATTTTTTAATTTTTTTTTTTTTTTTTTTTTTTCATTTGGCGGCGGTGTGGAATAATAATAAGGAGCTGCTGCTAATATTTCCAACCGTGGCTGTGGACGTCGTAAAACGGAACAGATTCAGATCAAGTCGGATATTAAAACTCCGGCTCGGGGGCTCTGGAGGATTCCGGCCCCTGCTCGGTGCAGCAGCAGCAGCAGCAGCAGCAGCAGTCTGTAGTCTGTAGTCTCTGCTCTGGTCTGGAGGTGGCAGTATTTACTACTTTATAAAACAAATGATGAAATGTTCGCCCTCATTAAAGGGATATTTCCCAGTTAAATGTGATAAACCCACCTCCACTACTCTGCCCCCCGACCCTCCCACCCTCCCCCACAATAAAAGCCTGCCCGCCTTTTTCTGCTATTATAACTAATAAATCCTAACAGTGAGAAAGGACAATATCCCACTGAACCGTGCACGAGCTCCAACTCCCTGCGCGCAAGGCGTTCGCGGACCGTAAAGAAGCCAGTCATGGCGTGTCCGCGGCTTCCTGTTATTGACTCCAGAGTGTGGCCCACACATGCTGTCAACGTGTTTATCTTTAAAATAAATAAAAAATATATAAATTAAAAGTTGGAGTCCAATTAATCGACTAATCGGTGTCTTCAGTGGCTGTAAAACAACAACGAGCTTCAACGTGAGGTCGCGTTCAGACCCGGGTCGTGTGTAAAACTGGGAAGTGCGGG